ATTAATATGACATCATTCCTCAATTTCTTATAAAGCGTCCACTATATATGAATCCGCAAGTTACGAGAACTGTGGCAAGTAAGTTTCTATCTCTACGTAAAAAAAAATATACATCTAATTATGTAAGCTCTCAAAGCTGGTATCCGTCAGTAACACAACAAGAATAACCCAGTTGCATCACCTACACAGAAATAATGATCATAGAGCTTACTTGGAATAAAGTAAATGAAAAAAAATAAAAATAAAAACCCACCTGGAATAAAGTCTTAGGGGTGTTTGGTTCAATTTCTATAAATTATAGAATAAGGAAAACACCTAAAATATAGATTTCCTTATGTTTCTTAAAAAAATAATAGGAAAACTTTTGAGAAGTCAAAAGGTACAAATTTTCTTATTTTTTGTACTTTGCTTGTTTAGTTCAAAACAAGAAAATAGACTCGTTACTTTATAGATATAGAAAGTTTTCATTTTCTTTTGTTTGGTTACATATGCCAAATTTATAAAAAAGTATCAACTACCATATTTATCACTTTATAACGGCTAGTTTCACATTCTCAAATCTTATAAAATCCTTTTGCCCTCAACTATCCATGAACACAAAATTTGCATTCCACAACTTGGCTCAGCTATTGGTCTTTTATCAAAATTGATTGTCTCAACTGAAACATACAAGTTCACGTAGATCGTGTTCTAATAACGTAGTAAAGAACGCGTTATCTTATTATGAACATTGTAAATTAGTTTGCAATCTTATTTAGTTGATCATCATCATTGCCAAAAGCTCAATCTGAGTTCCAAACAGAACCAAAACACCGCCAACAGCTCGAAATCGGAACAATATTATGTGAATATAGAGCTAAACAAGCTCGAATCAGCACAGTAACAAAAAAAAGCTCCAGCAGCTCGACAACGAGCACGAATATCAACCAAAAACCCCACAATATAAAGCTAAATAAGCTCGAAATCAACACATTAACAAAAAAAATCCCCAGCAGCTCGACAACGAGCACGAATATCAACCAAAAACCCCATAATATAGAGCTAAACAAGCTCGAAATCAACATAATAACAAAAAAACAACCCCAGCAACTCGACAACGAACACGAATATCAAACAAAAACACCACAATATAGAGCTAAGCAAGCTCAAAATTAACATAGTAAAAAAACAACCCCAACAGCTCGACAACAAAACAATCCCAGCAACTCAACAACGAGCACGAATATCAACCCAAAACCCCACAATATAGAGCTAAACAAGCTCGAATGAGCACGGTAACAAAAAAACAACACAGCAGCTCGACAACGAGCACGAATATCAACCAAAAACCTCACAATATAGGGCTAAACAAGATCGAAATCGGCATAGTAACAAAAAAACAGCCCTAGCAGCTCGACAACAAGCACGAATATCAACGAAAACCCCAACAATATAGAGCTAAGCAAGCTCAAAATCAGCATACTAACAAAAAAATAACCACAACAGCTCTACAATGAGCACAAATATCAACCAAAAACCCCACAATATAGAGCTAAACAAGCTCGAAATCAGCACAGTTACAAAAAAGCCCCAACAGCTCGACAACAAAATAATCCCAACAGCTCGACAACGAGCACGAATATCAACCAAAAACTCCCACAATATAGAGCTAAACAAGCTCGAAATCAGCACAGTAACAAAAAAAACCCTACAATATAGAGCTAAGCAAGCTCGAAATCAGCATAGTAAAAAAAAAGCCCCAACGACTCAACAACAAAAGAATCCCAACAGCTTGACAACGAGCACGAATATCAATCAAAAACCCCCCACAATATAAAGCTAAACAATCTCGAAATCAGCACAGTAACAAAAAAAACAGCCACAACAACTTGACAACGAGCACGAATATCAACCAAAACCATATAATATAGAGCTAAACAATCTCAAATCAGCACCGTAACAAAAAAAAGCCCCAGCAGCTCAACAACGAACACAAATATCAACCAAAAATCCTACAATATAGAGCTAAACAAACTCGAAATCAGCATAATAACAAAAAAACAGCCCAAACAGCTCTACAATGAGCACAAATATCAATCAAAAACCCCATAATATAGAGCTAAACAAGCTCGAAATAAGCACAGTAACAAAAAAACAGCACCAACGGCTCGACAATGAGCACAAACCACCAATACAATGTAGAATAGAGAGCTAATCAAGCTCTAAAATCAAGTCCCAACCAAAAGAAAATAGCATCAACAGCTCGACAATAAGCACAAATCCACCATTACATGAATACTTACTAGGGCTCAAGATATAAATATATTTGTCATAAAAGATTGTCTCGCCTAAACATTCATGATGTAACATAGGTTGCTCTTTTGATGGTTGAACTCATGATGGCGATGTTTGCATATAGAATTTTGTAGCTATTACCAAAGAATATTATTTATAACATTATAATAACATAAAAAATAACTATCCAAGGATATATGCTAGAATTATCAAGCATATGAAAGATATGTTGGCAATATTTTCTCATCCAACAATTAATACTCATTTTCAGTCTCATTCATGCTACAATATTAGTAAAATCTACAGCTAAATAAGAACAAAAAAATCAACCGCAATAGATCGAAAAATCCAAACCCACGAAACTACCATAATTTTCTCTATAGCCAACTGCTCAAATGATTGATGATTTCAATATGCTAATTAAGCCGCAACAGTAACAAAATCGAGAGCTAAGCAAAATCTGATAATCGACTAAAAAATCAAATGAAACAATTAAAAAATAAACCGAATAATCTCGGATAATAAAAGGGATATAGGGGTTTATTTTTATACCTCAATAGCTCAGAAGACCAAAGGCGGAATCACGAATTAGCCGCAAGAACGCCGACGAACTAGAGCAAAGCCCTAGATCTTCGAGCTCGCTAGCGATTAGCAAGAATAATCGAGGACGCGAGCCCTAGATCTTGCGGGAACGAAGTTTAGAACACCGACGAACTCGAGCGGAAGAATGGGTTTAGGGGTGGGAACAAAGGAGGAAGCCCTAGAAATTTTCCGAGATCTAGCGGCTAAAATCGACTCAAATAAGTTGAAAGAACGCCGATGAGCTAGAGCGAAGCCCTAGATCTTCAAGCTCGCTAGTGATTGGTGGGAATAATCGAGGACGAGAGCTCAAAGTAAGGAAAACTCGAGCAGGAGAATGGGTTTGGGAGTGGGAACGAAGGAGGAAGACTCAGAAATTTTGCGAGTTCTAGCACCCACGAGAAAAGTGAAATGGGTCGGAGATGTGTTGAGAGGGGGTTTGTTTAATATTTTAATAATAGGGTGTCAAATTTCTAGGTGTTTATAGCTCATTTTGAGTGGAAAATAATTTCTGTAAAATTGTACAGTTTTCTATACTTTACAAAAAACTTTTCTATAAATTCAATGTTAAAACAAACACAGTTTCAAAACTTTTCTATAAAACACCTTAACCAAACACCCCCATAAAGGAAAAATGTCCACCATAAACACCAAAAGACCACCGGCATGCAGGAGGTTCTGACCCTACAATTTTTTGCCCCCCTTGGAAAGTCAGAACAGCTCTCAATTCTCAACCCCAAATTCTATGTTTAAAATAACAGAATTTGGTATTTAAACCTCAAATCATACTCAAAACATAAAAGATCATGACCAAAATGTTAAGATAGAACAATGACTAGCATAGGTAACATATAACTTGTGAAATTCATATTAAATAGTCACCAATTAGTACTTGTTATGACACCAGAGTGACAGTATTTCTACCTGCAGACAGCAAACCATAAACATGAAAGACTTCATGAAGATGGAGGGCAATATTTCATCCGTCACCAAGGTAGCAATATGGCTGAACAACTAAGAAGGCCAAGAACAATTACAAGTATTGAATAAGTTGAGTGCTCCACTCAGGGGATCTTATTATTTCCCACATTAAGTTAATAAATCCATGATCTACACATTCACCAATCACTTGTTTCAAGCTTAAATGGAAAGGACTACGCACAACTTTAACATACTAACAGTATCAACTTCGACAACCCCTTAACCTGAGAATGCTTTTTTAGCTATCAAGAAGTTCGCGAGAAAAGCCTTGTTATTAGTTGCCTCGCAAATTAAGAAATGACAGAACTAAAACTCTAAAACAAATTTGAATTATGATAAACGAATAGGAAAAAGCAGTAACTTATGAACAACATTGATACACGTGCATCTGCAAACATACGAGTGCAGGCACAAAATGAAACAATCCTTCATGTTGATTAAATAGAAACTCAATATCACAACTCTAACCCATACTTAATACAAAAAGTCAATAACATGCAGGACGTACTTGTTTTATAACTCCAAATAATTTTGTTCCAATTGACAAGTTATCCAACCATAGAACACGCACGACACCAACATAACACATACAGCTTGCAACACATCACTTATCACGTAACACTCGCTGCAAATAAAAATCAACATAACATGTGTTCCACTAGGTGACTTAGGATAAAGAACCATCAAATTTCCAGACTATTACTGGACATTATCTTAACTCAGACAACTATAATGAATAGCTCAAGTTAGATCCATGGCGCCACTTCAACAACAACAAAGCTTTTATCACAAATTTGTTCTGGTTCAGTTAACTGTTTAGGAACTCATTTGAGGGGAAGTAATGGAGGTGGGCTGAAAAGTTGTGGGATTTAGTACCCCCTCCAAATTGGGGTGTAACTGAGGGAAAGGGAATTGATCATAATAAGATTTGTCTCACGGGGACAACCATACCCTCCCAACATCAAATCCAACAGCTAATACTGAGTTTGAAGTTCACCGGGTGAAATAAGTTCCCCTAATTTCCACTTGCTAAATTCAAAAAAAAAATTCGTTGAATTCCTAACACAGTGTAAGTTGATCCCATATCCTCAGTTAGCAATATTATTATCCATGAAGAAAAATGAGAGACTAAATGGTTATCTTTGAATGCCATTAAAAAATCACAATAAAGAAAGACTCTACATGGCCTTCAACTCAATTCAAATATATGATAAGAGACATCCATATTTATCATCGAGCAAGTTCATCTACCACGAAAAAGGAAATCTATCTGCCAAGATCCAATCTTTAATATGAAACTTCATCAAAACCTAAGCAGGAAGCATTCATGCTACAAAAAGAAACAAACTTTTCAAAGTCTCTCAACGAAATAGGCAAATGGCAAGTTCAAAACCTAACTCGAGTCATCTGGTCTACTTGTTCTCCGACGAGTTGGGGCCCCTCTTCTTGCCGAATCCGACGACGGCGGTGACGAAGCGGCGGTTGTACTGCATCCTCTTGTGGGCCCTCCCCCTCGGCTTCTTCTTCTTGTCCTGCTTCGCTACTTTCGGGGTCTGCCCTCGGACTTTCCCCGCGCGAGCAAGAGATCCATGCACTTTTCCTGCGAGACCGAAAGTAGGGAGAGATTGAGATAGGGAGAAAACCCTAGACGAGGATTAGGAGATTTGATGCGAAAAAACCCTAGAGTTTGGAACTTACCCATGGCTGATTGCTGTTTTCTTCTTCTAGGGTTTTGGGGAACGGCGGATGAGAACGCTGGACGCTTGGGCGGAATAACCCTAATTTTCCTGGCAATTCGTATATATAGACTTAGGCAGTTTATACAAACGAGTACCTTAGAATGTGATTATTTGCTTTCTGGGGATAAAAGACCAAGCAAATGGCTCATTTCGATATTAGCCCACATTTATATATTAGCCCCCAACATGTTTGCGATTGCTTCCACTACCCAACACCCCCCCACCCCAAAAAAAATCCTATTGGTATGTTGAATAAGCCCATCTAGGTAATATCACGGTGAAAAAGGGAAATATTTAGTTATTTTTCAGTAATTTATTAGTTGCGCCGCTCCTCTTACGCAAATCCAAACTCATTAACCATTTAACTTATATCCATTCAACTCCCAAAACCCGTTTAGTAAAACCCTAGCCCGAAACCATTTTTCAATTCATCTTCTCCAACGTCTTCCCCAGTGGCTCTCTTTTGCTATAATCCTAAATTTGCATTGGTGTTTATTCGTCAAGGAAGACACTGAAGAAGATGAAATGGAAAAGGAGTTTGGGCTAGGGTTTTGTTAAATGGATTTAAGGAGCTTAATACGGGTACAAATTCCTTGTAATAATCCACTCCAAACAAGTTAACTGTTCTTTTTGTTAGTGGGAGTTTTCTTATATTCGTCTAGAAGATATATAAAATAAATCTTTATGATACCTCACGTTACGAAGTTGATATTTCGATTACTTCATGGAGAAATGATAAGGAGGAAAGCAAGGGGAAAAGGCTGAGGGGAGGGGGGGATTGTTAAGATTTTTAAAAAGATCCACGTGAGCTAATGGTCAGTTGAATTGTGGGGTTTTTTTTTTGCTAAAAAGCCCAAGTCTTCTTTTGCGATCGTATTCTTAAAAGTTTTAGACTCCGAATATAGTTCAGTGTCGGCCCATCCATCCATGCGGCCCATCCAGTTAAAATCCCAAACCCGAATCCAGCCAGCAAAACCTCCATCCAGCCTCTTCTTTCTTGCTCAAAAAATACCTCTCCCCTTCGATCGCCACTTCAGCCACGGAGGGGGGGAAAGAGAGAGAGATGGAGAGGGCAGC